AATATAATATACATAATATGTAATATTGTATACATAAATGTGTAAATATTTATACATAATATATTATGTACATTATATTATAATATATACATTATTAATGTATAATATTATTATGTACATTATTGTGTATAATAATGTATAATAATGTTATGTATAATATATAATATACATAATATGTAATAATGTAATAATGTATATTATGTATAATATATTATATTATGTATATTATATTATATATATACAATATTATGTATATTATAGAAATTGAAAATTATATATTTTATATTATATGAATATTTATATAATGAAATATACAATAAATATTACAAATTGAAATATTATATAAACACCATATTTATAATATTATAATATTTATAGTTAATATTAACGTATATTATATATTTATTTATACATATTATAAATATTTTTATATATTTATATGAATATTATATGTTATATAAATTATATATAATATAACATATATTATATATTATATATATTATACATTTATATAAATGTACATTTATACATAATATATATATTAATGTATATTTATAATATACATTTATATTATGTATTATATATAATATAATACATTTATACATTTATATTAATATACAGAATATTAATTTTATATTTATACATAATATTAATACATTTGTACATTTATATTAATTATATTAATACATTTATACTTAATATTACTATTATACTTAATATTAATATATATTAATAAAATTATAATTTATACATTTATATAATATTCATTTGTAATTTATACATTTATAATAATATAGACTTATACGTTTATAAATATATTTGTATTATGTATTATATATAATATAATACATTTATAATACATTTATATATTTTTTAGCGAATATATAAATATATTTATTTATAAATATTTATAAATGTATTATAAATACATAAATGTATATAAAAATATAAATTATAAAAATACCCAAAAAATATGTTTTAAAAATACCTCTAAAAATAATCCCAAAAACATTTACAGTAAAAGTTTTTCATATAGTTTTTGAAAAACAACTCAAAAAATAACTAATCCAAACGGACTTGTATTTCAAAAACGAAATGCTACAGTGCTGTTTTTGAAATACAACCCAAAAACAGTTAATCCAAATGGAGCCAAATATTTTTTAAAAAATAAATGGCCTCATAAACTATTAATTTTTTATGACTTTCATCCATTACATGAGTAAAGTATTGGCTCTTTATGGATATTTTATCCTGAATCATTTAATTTATGTTAAATACATAAATATTTATAACTAAAATTGAAAAAGTGTTATATTAATATTTCTACGGAAGAAAAACTGGTAGGTTTTGTGTTTAACAAAAATTAAATATTTGAGAGTAAATACAAATCTGTATTTGAGAATAAATATTTGTGATAAAGTAAATGTTTGAAAGTAAAATATATGTAAAGAGCTGGTACTTTAAATAGGCAATATGTATTTGCCTATAAACTACGCTCGTTAAAGTTTTTTAATTGTTAATTAATTTGTAATACTTTGCCATTCATTGGACATGTGGCACAAAGGACAAATCAGATACAAAATTCTAATTTCACTCTCTAAAATAATATTTTAATCATTTGGACTGAATTTGTAAAGGATTAGTAACCCCAGGGGAGGTCAGTGTAATTGTTCAAACCACAGGGGAGGTAAGTGTAAATGTCAGAAACCTCAGGGGAGGTTTCTGAAATTATCCCAAAAAAAAAGGGGTCCTTGGACTTTCTCATAATTAGTTACTTCAAAATGCCATTCTTTCCCAACAGGTAAGCATAAGATGAGTTGGGGAGTCTTCAAAGATGCCATAATCCAGTAACAATTGAAGAAGATAACAGATATGTCTGTATTTGAATAGATGGATCTGATTGTGAATACAACTTCCAATGAATGATAATTTGTTTCTTTGTCTCCATTTGACAATATTTGATATGATATGTCAATTATGTTATCTTAATGTCTACATCAGTTGCAAGGATACCATATCGTCCACTTTTGCACCATCTGACAATATTTGATGTGACTGTGCGTTTGATAAAACTGAAATTTGAATCTATTAAATTATTAAATATTAAATCAAATATATTTAAGTGAATATTACATTCAGTAAGAAGTGAATAGTTTATTACTTATTTTTGGAAGCAAATTTTGCCTAAGAAATTCAGTAGCACTTAATTAATTCAGATGTTCAATTTTGGTTATTAAACACATCTGAATATATTAAGATCTAAATAGATTAAGTTTAAGTGATGAATTGCGTTATTAAGCATTGCCTCAGTTTGGGATGAATGATAACTAATGTAAATTTGAACTTAAAACTCAAAACTTGAATATATTTCATACATCTAACGATTATGGTGTATACATTTGTGTTTGGATTGAAGATTATTTCACTTTATTTACACCTTATTTACACACACTGATTTGCTTGCATCATCAACACATTTTCCAATAACCTTTTTATCTCGCATACATCATATCAAAAAAGTGCTACAGTAAAAATATCTCAAATAATTTACAATCCAAACAAAGTAAACCAAGGCAACATAATAGTATTTTATTGTAGAGATATCTAAATATTGTACTAGTATTTACAATAAGTAAATAGATGCAAGTTATTAGCAACTCCAAAATAATGAAGCAATAACATATAAATTAAAATGTAATATGTCTACAATGATATTACCACCAACTACGTAGTTCACTCAAAATCATTAGTAGATTCACAAGATCATTAATGATGCCCAACATACTTGTTAACAATTATTTGAGGATTTGATGACTTGAGTGGAGTACGTAATGTTTATAGGGCTAATAAGCCTCACGAAAAAAGCAGTTTTAGTCGCCTTGTTTAGAGGCGGACCATATTGTCCCTATTGGTTTGTACACAGCACATTTATTGTTTGGATTGAGGTTTTCCCCACAAAAATTTTTATATTTCTGTGAACACATTTTTAAATTACTTTTTCCTTACCTTATATATATCAAATCGTTACGGTATATTTTTTTTTCTAAAACTCTTAAAAATAGCAATTCAAATAGACGGTCCTCAAAATATTAATTTTTGACCAATTTAGAAAAATGGACGTTTAACCATTAACCAGTAATTTGGATGGAGAAGTGCAAACGTGCAACGAAAAGTAGCATGTGACTGGAACTAGGGTTACAAACGAGCCGAGCCGAGTCGAGTCGAGTTTTGGCTTAATCGAGTCGAGTCTTGACTTAATTTTATTGAACTCGAACTCGAACTCGAGCTCGATGAGTTGGCAATTTAAAGCGCGAGCCCGAGCTCCACTTGATTTGAACCGAACTCGAGCTCGAAAAAAATAAAAAATAAAAAATTTATTTTTAAATAAATAAATAAAATAATATTTTTTCTTAATAAATAATAAAATATTAAGGATATATATATAATTTTACTATTAAAATAAAAAATATAAAAATATATATATACTTAAAAAATATATATATATATATATACTGAAAAAAAAAAATATATATATATATATATATACCTGACTCGCGAGCTAACGGGCTTAATATTTTGAGCTCGATTTCTACTCGAGCCAGCTCAAACTCGACTCAAGCCACTCGCGAGCGGCTCGGTTCGTTTGCAGCCCTAACCGGAACGTGTTGTTACCAAAATTGAGTTCAGCTAACGTTTTCTTTTTTCCTTTTTAAAGATGAACTTTAGGAAAAGATAATTTCTAGAAAAAAAAAAAGAAATTTGAAACAGGACTTGATTTCCAATAATTTGTGCAATTACATCAAGCTTGATATCCATTAGGTTTTTACTTAAAAAAACTTGATGGAAATATATATATATATTTTTTTGCATAGATCTCGAGGTCTAGGAAATCTAGTTGAGTTTTACACAACACTCAACTTCTAGGAAATCACTTTTGATTTCAACATTCTCTAAAGAAAAGAACAGAGAGAAAGTCAATTTCCTAGAAATCGGGAAATTTTACATAACTCGTTTTGCATGAAATTGATGTCGAAGAAATGGAGTTCCATTTGACTCTCTTCCTTTGGCTAAAAAGTACGATTTCCTTGAATCAAAACACTGTTTATACATAGCTCAATTTTCAGGAAATTGAATTTAGTTCTAACTTTTTATTGTTCCATATGAAAATTTTTGAAAATCATGAAATTTTACGTAGAATTGCATTTTAAAGGAAATCTAGTTCAGTTTTAGACAAATTATTTATCTTGTTCTTAGGACTATATGAATCACATGGATTGGAGTGTCAATTAAAACTTTAAAAAGATAGGACTTTGGGAATCATATTTCGAATTTTAAAGTTGTAACACTTGAAAATAATTTCTTTGCCATTAAAGCTTAATAACCTAGACTATTTTTATCACAAGATTGCTCAAACATATTTACTTTGCTCGTACATATTTATTTTTTCCTTTTGATTTACTTTCAAAGTTTAGATCAATAAAACTTAATTTAATAAAAAAATTAATGGAGAAAAGCTTTTTCCCTTGCCCAAGTTTTTGAAATATTGGCAGGTACCAGGCACAAAGCCACTCTTCCTTCCATCCAAATTGGCTAAATCACATGTTAATTGTCATGAATTAGCCAAAACTGATCCTTTAGGACTAAAGGTGTTCTCCATCAACTAGTAGGCACCAAATTGATACATTCCCAAACACTAGGGACTTAAACTGCATTTTGCTCGAAAATCTAAACATGACGCAAGAGCACACATTTGGCCGTGCAGGCGCCAAATAGAATTACATATATTACAGAATTGAGAAAACTCCACACAGTCCTAGAATTTTCCCGAAGGCCCCAAATCTCTTCGGTCTCAAGGAAACTTCTGGAATTTCAAATCTTTCCTCTTTTCCCTCCTAACCACCAGTATAAATAGCCCAAAGCCCTCTCTCAAATCCTAAAACCGAAAATCCCCAAATTTCAGTAGCAAAATATTTCCAAATCATAAAAGTTGCCATTATACTATGGATTTTTTTCCCTTTTATAGAAGCCAGCAACGGCCAAAGCCCTCTGTCGGAAATTTTCGAATCCCTGTCCGGCCTCAGGAGGAGGAGGCGAAGTCAGCGACCAGGAGTCAGAAGGTGGTTCAGATCCCGGTCCAATTTGTCGGGTCGGAATCCGGCCCGGACTGCTCCAAGTCGGCATCCAAAATCCAGAAGGTCTTTAGGGGCTTTCTGGTGAGGAAAAGTATGAGGAAGATCATGGCGATTAAGAAGGAAGTGGATGAGATCGAAGCTAGGGTTTGGAGAAGTGAGGAGGTGGAGTTGCTGGAGAAGGACGGGAAGGAGAGGTTGAAGGTGAATGAGATGTTGATGGCTCTGCTATTCAGGTTGGATTCAGTTCGCGGTGTGGATTCTGGGGTTAGGGATTGTAGAAAGAGTGTGATTAGGAAGGCAATTGCGCTGCAAGAAAGAGTGGATGCTATTGCTGCTGCAGCTGCTGCTGCTTCTACGTCGGCTGATGTTAATTTAGTTGAACCTGAATCTGAAACCCTCGCTGAGAAGGATCAACAACCAGAATATCAGGTTCTTGAGATCAAAGATGAAGCTCCTCCTGCTGCTGCTGCAAGGAATTCGGTAGAAAAATTTGATGGTTCTGAGGATCAAATTCCCCAAAATTATGGTAATGTTCTTGATTTTGGGAATAATGGGTCTGGTCAAGGCACAGAGGAAAGAAATAATGGAGGAGCAGATGAGGAGCCATTGTGTGAGGGGAAGATTTCAGACGGCTTGATAAATGATGAAGAATCAGGGGCTCCGAAACGAGACAGAGAGGATGATGTTGGGGCCGATTTAGAAATGATTGCTGAGGAAGGCAATCGTGTTGAGGATGTGGAGAAGGTGGATGCTGGAATTGATTCAAAAATGAAAGTGGATGTAGAGGCCCGTCTTAACAAACTAATGCCTCTTGAGAATATTAAAAACCAGAATTGCTGTGAGGTCCAAGTTGTTGATTCACCAATGGAGGATAATGGAGAAGATACCTGTGAAAGGACTCCTGCTTTGAGTGAATGTGTGGAGGAAAGCCTGGAGACGAGGCAAATGGAGGATGTGATCAGAGCCAAACAGGGGAATGAAGGAAGAAAGTATGGGGGAGGTGATGACAAGAGGAACAGGGAACTGCTGGAGATGATGATGGAGAAGAATGAAAAAATGATGAAGTTGATGACTCAACTCAATGAGAGGAATGAAGTGCAGATGCGGATGTTGAATACATTAACTCAGAGGGTGGAGAAGCTGGAGAAGGCATTTGTTTGTGATATGATCAAGAGGAAGAAGAAGAGGGCATAAGAGTATAGGTTTAATGATGTTGGATAGTATTTGTGGGTCTTTGGCTTTTTTGTCTTGCTTTTGATTTTTCACACAACGTTGATGTAAATAAACTTTATTGGCTGTTTTACAGCTAATGATTCAAAAGCATAGCATCTGCTTTACTAGATTGAGTTATGAGCATATTAATTTTTGTCGTATACATTTCACTCTTTATTTTTCATGTTATGTAGTATTCGTTTTGCAACATAATTCACGTAGAACATTTATGATGATAGTGAAGCTAATAAAGACTCAACATTTTTGAAGCAAGTAACGACTCAAAACAATTTGAGGAAGTGGAATTTGTTTGTAAGATTTGGAAGCGCGATGCAATTGTTTAATTTAATGTTGAGAGGATTATACCATAATAGCACAAGGAGTGAAAAATGAATTCAGACAGATCAAAACACTACTATTGGTATGATAATCAACCTTACATAGATTTATGAGATAATTCAAGCCATAGATGTTAAGGATTTTTTAATGCAAATTACAAATTTGTTATTAGTTATGTGAACTTAGCCTTGGAGGGAGATGGAAACGATGATACAATCAGGAATGTTCTTATTTCATCGAAATTTTCTAGTTCATGTTTTTTTATACATGTGTGTGTGCCTTTCTTCTTCTTCTTTTTTTTTTTTTGGGGGGGGGGGTTATTTGCCGGAGTATGTCAGATTCGTAAGTATTAAGCTTCATTGCTTGTGTTTTTCTTTTTGTAGTATGGCGGGGTGAAAGTTGAGTCCCTGGAATCTTTCTAAGAGACTAGTAAATATCTGTTGTTAGAGTTGTTAGATAACACTACTCTTTGAATTTTAAGGCTAGAACCTTAGGTCATTTCAGTTGCCCTTGCACACACCATGATGTGTTATCTCTTACAGGAATTACTCTAGTTAGATAAGTTCTATTACAAGAAAAGTGCAGAAAAGTGCTTGTCTAATGTCTAATAATAATTCACTTTGATTATCTGATAAAAGATTTAGGCTTATGGACATGTTCATAAATTGATTTCCTTCGTTGTTATTTCTTGCATTAGGAATGAGAGGCAATATTCTTATATTGATCATGCAGCAGGAAGATCTTCCACCCATGAAAACAAGGAAGGTTCTATAATTGCTCTATAGTGTGTGCTTAACCAGATAGGTGTAGAAGCAGATTGTGGAGTTTTACTTTGGCTTATATCCTCCAGTCACCTTTATCTATTATATGGCCATTTTTCTGTTTGAAAGATCGAGAAATGCTTCTTTTGTTTCTCTTACTTGGGCCATACGTGTAACCTTTATTAAGTCCTATATCCTGAATACTTTTGGCCATGAAAGCCTACTTTAGACTTTGCACGCCCTTATCTAATGAAAGCTTTAGGATTGGTGTTGTGCTAGTCAGCATGTACAACTCAAAACCATTGCTTTATTAGAACAGTTGACAAAATTCAATGAATTAACCAAATCTTGTAGTTTTCACTAGTATGTCATCTTAATTTTGTTCTGTATGAACAATTAGATTAAAGTTGATCCTTCCAACGAACACAATGATTCTGACCTATGAAAGGCTCTGGAGAGGGCCATGTAAAAGATGAAATTAAGAGTTCTTTGGGCCTGAATGCAAAGTTACAAATAAAACCTATTGCCTTTGTTGTTTGCATTTCCCACAGATACCGGGCAGAGAAACCTATATTGTCAAATGTTAACTTGGATGTACCAAGTGGTAGCTTAGTAGCAATTGTTGGTAGCACCGAAGAGGGAAAGACATCACTTTTGTTGGCAATACTTGGCCAGCTTTCTCTAGCTTCTGATATAGCTACTGTCATCCTCATAGGAAACGTGCCTCAAGGCTCATGCATTTTCAATTTAGTCATAGGGATTTTGCATGTTTTTGTTGATCTCATTTGCTTTGATGGATGTTGCTTGCATTGTGATTAAATTTTGAGTTTCTTATCCTTGCTACCATGGTTACAAAATCAGAAAGTCTTCATACTGAATTCAAATTGTCCAAGTTTTCATATAAGTAATTGCAGTGCCTGTCACACTTTTACTGAAAATCAAAGCAGCAATTTGTGTTTACTTCGGTTGCAGGGGGGCTGGTCCAGGTGCATTATTTTTTGTTTAGACCCTAACATGGTCAACATGATCTGGTGTAACGGCTGCCAATGAACTCAGTTTTCTTCTTCTGACAGCTTCACAATTTTTTTGGCATGAACATGTTCTAGGCTTTTTTTTTTTTTTTTTACCCTGCTTGTTCACAATATTTTGTTACGCTGCTTGTTTTGTAGTTGCTGTAGTTCATCAGAAGTCACTAGGGATAAACCATGAGAGTAGCAGAAAATTTACAACTGAGAAAAAAAGCAATCTAATGACCACTGATTCTAAACCTCTACGAATTGTTGTTCTTATGAATTTCTCTGCGGTATTCTGTGGCTTATTGGCAAAGGCTTCACAATTTCTTTTATACTGAATGAACCCCTAGCCGACTTGGCAAGTAACTACACGAAACTATTGCTGGAGTCAGCCTTCATAGACTTGTGCTTAAGACCACCTTAGAGTACCCAAGAAAAGGAGCACGAGTTCTGCATTGGGGCTCTAATACATAAAATAAGCTCGAAACTTACGATAGCTGTATAGTAATCATTTTTACCTTTGTAAATTGCTTCCAAGCTTCTATTACAGTGGCTGTGGTTTAATGTTCTGTATATCCAAATTAAATATTTGTGTTCCTTACACATCAATTCTATCTGTTTTGTGCTAGTACTAGTTTTCCCTTATCATACATTGCCCTTAGTAATTAGGATCTTGTGAGGTTTTCTTCACTGATCAGAACAACAGAATGTGGCTATTCCTGCGTCTAAAAGATACAGAGTTGTGGTTGGCAAACTAATCTCTTATCTCTTTGCTTCTAAACAATGTGGACTATGTTTTGAGCTGTTGATTGAACAATGACCTTTGAAAAATTAGTGAGAGCAACTCATTTGATGAAAAATTTAGTCACTTCGAGATTGCAATAAAAGATGTTTTACCCCTCAATTAGGCATATGAACATGTATGAGAAAATACCATGTAGGTGCTTTGCTTTTATGATGGCAAAAGTTGTTGAAGTACTTTGACTACCTCTTGAATTACAATTACGAACTGATGAGTCATCGTGATTTTTTTGCATAATAGATAATGTACCTTTATTTCCCATTACTTATTAGATCAAGGAGCTAAAATCCTTGGTTTTTGTCATCACATTGATGGAAATTTACACAATTAGAAATTTGGTTTTAGTATGCTATCAATACGAGTGTCATCTTTAAGGATACATTTTTCTTGAACATTAGTGATCAAGTTATTCTTTTTCTTCTGCATCAAATATGCCAATCACTTGCAATTTTTCATTTCTGAATTGTACTTACCTTCATTCTTCTATGATTTGAGTGTTGCTTCACAACTTGGTGCCCCAACATACGTATACTTCCCTTTGTCATTTCTATATCTTTCTGAGTAACTGCCTTTATAGAGAAGATTCGGTTTCCATCCTTTTAACTTATGTTTCACCTTATCCAGCAAATATTTATAGGACTAGGGATAGCTGTGTTTAAGAATAATAGGAAAACACAGGTACGGTCCTAAATCATCATCAGTGCTAGACAATGTTTTAAAACTCGGACCGTTAATTGAACCGGTGAAGTGTTCGGATCAAGGTTCAACCGGTCGGACCGGTTCAACCTTGGTTCAATGAATTTTTAAAAAAATAATTTATATAAATATATATATATGCACAAAATAAGACATGTATTGGGCTAATTTAAAACTTTATATGATGAAAAGTTTACTATTTTTGAATAACTTGGATTTTCAGAAATAAATTTTTTAAATTATAAGTTGAAACAAATAAATTTCATCTCAATTTCAATTATATCTACCAAAAAATAATCTTAAATCCAACCCAAAACTACCACAATATTTTGAAATTATACAAAATTCACGTCTATGAGAATTTAGATATTGTGAGTTTAAATTTTAATTTACGTTTTTGGGATTTAGAGATTGCAATTTAAAAAAAAAAGAAATTTGGAGTTTGAAGGAAGTTAAGAGAATCGAAAATAGAAATGCAAACTTGATAAGAAACGAAAAATGAGATAAAAGTGAATGATTATGGTATTTAATAATTAGTCTTAGGGTTAAAGAGAATAATTCTTTTTTAATTTTTTCAATTTAATGGACAAAACAAAATTAAAAGATGGAAGAAAATATCAATAAATTAAAACTAAAGAGTTTTACTTAAAAAGGGAGTGACAAAAGAAAAAAGGAGAGAAAGAGAGAGTTGAACATTAAAAAGAAATAAGTCTAATGTGTCTTAGGAGTTACGGGCTTAGGGCTGGGGTATTTTTAATTTTTCACTTCATAAGTTAAGTAGATATCTACACAAAACAATTTCGTCCGCTGGCTGTGATTTAATGGTAAGGACTCTTTGTTGTAATCACAAGATTTGGTGTTTGATTCTTGGTGGCCTCAATCTGGACATTATTTTTGAAAAGTTTCAAAAATCGCTGGTTCACAGTCTAAGCGGTTTTTCACGGTTCGTCTGGGTCATCCGGTTTCTAGTGGTGTTTCGTTACCATCCGGCTTTAGCTGTAGACCGGTGGCTTGTCCGGTTCGTGATCCTACCAGTTGAACCGGCCGATCCGGTCCGATTCTGAAAACATTGGTGCTAGACATACCTAAGATATTATTCTCAATAGAGGATTGAGTCTTAGAGGGATTGTAGGGAGTGTTGGGAGAGACTAAGATTCTGGACTTCTTAAAATCTATTACTATATAATATAATCATGTTTCTTCCTTTTTATTTGTGATGCCTAATCTACCTTACTGCAAATTGGTATTCTCATCTTCCTCTTAGTCCACTATCGGCCAGAATCCTGTTCAAAATATAATTCTAGAATAACACAAACAGCCTAATCTTCCCTTACTAGTCAGTTTTTCTCATTGCCAACCATCAGCAGCATT